GTATAGAATTTGTTAACCTTCTGGCTACATTGCAAAGGCCTTCTTTCCATGGGAAAAGTGATTTCCACCACTACATTAACAGGACAGAGGAAATCATTGAATGGGGTTATTAATTATTTTCATTTGCTCATTTTTAGTAATTTTTATAAGCCCTAGACTGTGTATTATTATTATTTGTCCAAACATTTCTATGCTAATTGTTGTACAATGCACAGCCCTGGATACATGTTTTATTTGTTGAAATAAAACACATCAGTTACATAAAATAATGGAAAAAAATGGGTTCATTTCTGGCCCCCCTCACTGCACTATAATAAAATGAGCTCCAAGTGTTTCAAAATCTCCTTTCACATAATTTAGAGTTCCCAGACTGTGCTGTATGTCACAGCATTTACAATTTAATGGGAAATGCTGCAGGATTCCTTACACCTGGTAACTGGGCACTGAGTTAATACAGGATGTTATAAATCCCAGGGAAAGTAGCACTGGAAATTACTCCAGAAAATGTTACTGTCAACTTTCCTGTGATTAAAATCACATATTTTGTTCCAGTAACACCACCTTACATTGATATCACACACAACCCAAAAGAATCAGAATGACAACCCTGATTTTGCATTAGTGGAATTGGACAGAATAAGGTTAGGTTTATAATAAAATATATTCTATTTGTATGGTTTTTTAGGTTTTTTTAGTGGATTAGTTTGCATTTTTTTTTTTTAAGAGGGGACGGCATTTTTACCCCTCAAGACAAGCTATATGAAATCTAAGAATGCTTTCTGGTATAATCCCAAAACTGAATGTAAGCAGAGAATTACTTTAATCTAACACAAATATTAAAGTGCACACAGAAAGTCATAATCTATGTTAAAGATACTTGGTGTCTACTCTGTTGGACAGTTACATCTGTGTTCTCAGCATCACACAATAAATCATTTTTTTTTAAATGTACACTTCATGAACCAAGGATGAGTCAAGGAGATAGAAAAGATTATGATCATGTTAGCCAGGGTAATATTTGTCTGTCATCACAAGCAATATTGTAGATTGTCAGTATTTGGAAATTGTTGTAGCTTGTAAAACCACTCACTTATATTACTGCTGGAACAATATTGCTCTCTCTTGGAGTGAATTAGTAAGCAATAATAGAAACTGTTGCATATTGTATTACTTTTATTTGTACTTAATGGCACTGGCAGTAAGAAGTACTTGATTTTTTCTTATATTTGACCTTAAAATTTGCATGTGTTCCAAAGAAAAGAAGACACCTTTTCTTCAAAATAAAGTGATGTAAATGAAAATAAAAATAAATATACAGTTTATAATTTCAGTATCTTGTACCATTTTCTAAGATAACACACAAGGGGAAGGGGACATGTAAATCACTATTTCTGTCTGCATTTGCCTGTTTAGACACCATTTTGAGGCATCCGATCAAGAGATTCTTTTAAAAATAATCAGTGCACAACAGTGTATTAAGCACAGCCTCTCTCAAGTCAGTGGAGCTTTACTGATTTATGCCAGCTGAGAATTTAGCCTTGAGTGGCCAGTTTAACTATATACATCTAGATTTTCTCTTGCCAAGTAGTACTGTGCTCTGTGAGAAGTCTCATTGATTTCCCGAGTGTTGGGAAAATTGACCAGTACAGCAGTCTACTAGAGTCTCTGTTAACATGTTTTGTTTCAGCCTTGTAGGTTAGGTGCTTGGCCTTGATATAGTATCCGTAGCTCCAGCAGTGGGAGGGCACTTAAACACATCATGTTGCTCTGAGAATAAAAGTAAGTAGCAAGCAGAGCAGGGAGGAAGTATTAGGATGACCACTGGTGCATTTTAGAGGAGCAATGTAAGTGCCTCAAGTCAGAGACTGACACTGGCCCCTAGGACCCAAGAATAAGGTATGAAAAAATGAGAGTCACCTTGTTCCCAGCTATCAGCCGCCCCATGCTTAGCATTTTACACATGCCGCCAAAACCTAGCTGGCAAGTACTCCACATTCCTTTATCAAGAGAAAAGCAAGTGCATGCAAACAGAGAGCACAATTTTCTATTTCTGTTTCTATTTACATACTAATGTTTTATTCAGGGAGAAAAGATTACACTATAATGGCGCAGCAAATCTTATAACCAACAGATTATAACCACCATGGAACCTAACACACCTACCCTACCCACTGTGACTGATACACCCACTTTCAGAATTCCAGAAAGATCAATTGCATTCAAAGACTTCCAGTGAACCAGCAGTCCTCCCTCCTCACACCTGCCTTCCCCCCGAGCCTCCCAATTCTCTGAAGCCTCTGTTCTCCTAACTCCTTGGCACCTGTCATTTAATTCCACAACCAAAAACAATTATATCATTTGAACTGAGGGTGTCATGTAGTCACCATTCCATTTACACGGCCCAGGGGCTACTCAAAACTATCTACACCAGGAGCTGAAGTGTATGACTACACAGTCTCGCTTATTACGTGCTGTAAAGGAACTCTGACTCCGTGACATGATATGGGTGCTCATGTACAGCTTCAAGTACATTTAGAGATATTTTAGCTGAGCTTAGCTCCAGATCTGAAGCTGTAAACCTCATACTAAGGCCATTTCAGGTATCCTGTTTCTACCATAATGTTACTAATTTAATTTCTTTGGCACAACAATTCATTTATGGCGCCACTGCATTCTAAAATTACTTTTTTCCCACAAATGAGTTACCATTAATGCTGAATATCTGGTGTCACAAGTAAGTGATTTTCCGTGGATCTAGTGTAAAACAGTTTTATGGCAGGAGAATTTAATAGAGGCAGGTTAAACAAAATAGTGTACAAGTGTCTATGTTAGACTGAAACATAAACTAAACACAGATCTAGGGAATTATCAGAAAAATGGAACACATATCTGTATGTGCACTCACCATAAAACCTCATAAATACATAGAGCACATCACAAAACATTCTTTGTTTTTCAAGTAGGTTTTACATCTCTGACCTCTATTATCAGTGGGAAAAAAGAATTCTTTCACCAACCAAAAGGCATTTTAACAATGCCTTCAAAAGTGTGTGGCGTGATGTTACCTCCTCACTCACAAGAAAGAGATTCGCTGATATCTCAGCAATTTAATGAAAGGAAAGTGCTATTAAGGGCACCTAACTGTACACATAGGTAATATAAAAAGCCAAAAGTCACATCAAATATTTATTAAATAATGAATTAACTTTACCTTGAAGGGCAATGGCTCTTCAGTAAGTGGGCTAACAGGAAGTGAAGTTGTACTACTAGCAGGACTCATATCTGCACTCTGAAAGAAAAACACATCAGTGTTAACGTCTCCAATTAAATTTTGGATGTGGACATACTGTCCTGCATTTCAGCTCTTTTATATTGCTTCAATATTTTCACCCAGAAAATAAAAAAAGCCCCACTCTATCTGTTAAGACTAAGAGAAAACAAGCATGATATAAATCCTGATGACAACCTGAAAACTATACGGCATTGTTCAATAATTGGGTAACAAAGAGAACACTATATTTAATAGATAAGTTACTTTCTTTCTCTATATTTTGAATTAACACTCAATAAAATAATGAATCAGCTATTAAGACAAATAAATACATGTGTGTTTATTTAGAATAGAACAGCAGGGAAAAATTAAAAATGAACACGTAGTTTTGAACAGAACAAACCATGGTTGGCAATGGAAATTAAGGTACAATGTGCCTTAGATTTTAAAAAGTATCTGAACCAATATTATTTTTTAAAGGAATCCAAAGTATGAGCACAAGGATATGAAAGAAAAAAAAACAAAACTTGCAACGAAATGTAAGAAGGACCAGTAAAGAAAGTGTACAACAGAATGTTCCAGATATTGGTATAAGGTCCAACCTTAGTCAATATTGTTAGTTAACTGTTAGTATATTAATTACATTTACAGGTAGGACATTCTGGAAAAGCAGTAAAGTTTGAAAAATATATAGAGAAAACTTGTCTGAAAAGGTTACAACAATAAGAGAACAAAATTACAAATTGGGGTGGGGGAGAGGAATATAAGCAATATAAAATATGCCTGGAGAGAACTACTCAGAACACATAGCCACTCAGTGGAATTGAAATTATTGAAAGCTTATAAACCAAAAACTAGGGGAAATAATGAAATGGACAGCATAATAGGAATGTTAGCATTGGTAACCAAAATTGCATTTGCTTTGCATGTAATCTTACCGTGCTGCAAATGATTATTTATTTAACTTATGCAATATGCCCAGTCACATAATTGGTGGGCATCAGTTTCACTCCACTGACCTGACTCTCACTGTATAGGTGAACAGTACTATGTTGACAGATACAATAATCCGGGTAAACTGACATAGTGTAATAACAATAACAATTCCCTGAGCAAAGCAAAGAACCTCCCTTGATCAGTCTCTCATTCCTTAGAGGCCTGATTAAATAAATGTATATCACTGGCTGTATCATTGACAACATGCCCTGAAGTCATCAGAATTGGGCCCGTGTAGATCAAATTTAAAGGGAATTGAAAAATGAGCAGGTCTTTTAAAAGTCTCCTATTCTAAAACAGAAAAATACCAGCAACGATGGTAGGCTGTAGACCTGCTAGCCTAATCTGTGCCTGAAAATGAACTGTAAGCTAGCACAATCTTCTGAGCACAGGATGAGTACAAACTCTGAGAAACTGTGAAATAGGCTGCATCCACACAAGCAAGGGTGTGCATTTGCAGCAGCACAAATAGTGGCACAGATCTGTGTCGCTACTTTCTGCTTCAAAGCATGCCCTTGACTCTGTGCTTTGCATTGAGATACATTGTCCCACTGCTCCATGTGCTGTAGTGGGGGCTGGCTGAGGCACGGGGTGCCTTGGTGTGGGACTAGCCGGCAGGTAGCCCCCATGCTGAGGCATCCTGTGTCCCAGCCAGCTGAGGAGCAGCACACGTGCTGTGGAGCCCCCACCCTGAGGTACCATATTCTGGGGTGCAGTATGCCATGAGACGGGGGCTCTGCATGCCTCAGTGTGGGTACTCTGCTGTGGAGCTGCCCAGGGCTGCCTGCTCCCCCATCTTGAGACAAACTGTGACCCTTTGGCGTGCTTTGCGCTGCTTTTTTTTTCAGAGTTTTTCTTTCCTCCAAGGAAATCCTGGTAGCTAATTTTGCTCCGGCGCTGCAAATTACCAGTGCCAAACATGGCTTAATGTGCAATGTGTGAGGTTTGGGATGCTGCAAAAAGGTTTGTGGCACCACAAGCCGCACATGCCTGCATGCCTCAATCCGGCCATAGAGGCTGAGTAGCTTTATTGTGCATGACTTGAAATTCTTGTGTAGTTTTTTTAATTTATTTCTATGTAAGGTCACACAACCCCAAAAATGTCTAGTTGCCTTTTCACAGATTTCTCAGTAGCCTTTCCAACAATCTTTGCAATTTTGCCATGTAAAAATACTGTACCAATTTCTCTGGTGATATAAATTAATTAATTTAAATGGTGCTATACCAGTTAACAATAGTAGAAAATAGAGTCTCATGCAGATGCATGATTTCTTGAGCAGTTAAAAGGAATTGTTTTGAGATATTCTGTCAGTTTGCCCTCCTAAAGGGACAGACTAACCATTTCAGAAAACAAACACCCTCCTCATTCCCCGACCCCATGCAGACAAATCAGCCACAGGGATTTTTTTTCCCCTGAATCATATATTACAGCCTAAAGCTCCCCACACATATAAATAACCCCTGTAAGAAATTTGTCTGGTGAGGACATCTTATCTGACATGACCTGACCCAATTCTGTTCAAACAGAAATCAGCAATATGGATTGAACTTGATTTTATTTGTGAATTAACCAGAAAATACCTGACACTTGGATTCTATTCCTAGCTTTGCCACAGTTACTGGATGAATCTCTTACCATAATGTATAATCTCTTCTCATAATGTATGCACAGGAGACCAAATGAAGGTTACTTTTTGGTATTTTCTAAATTTTAAGCACCTGACTTTGCAATCCAAATGTTTTCATTGTGTGTACGTGTAACTATACATATGCATGTAATGGGTGGGGCTGGTGGTCTTGCCAATGAAAAGTCACTGTTTGTATATGCTCAGAAAAGACTTAGGAAGAGCACAGACCATCTGCAAACACTTCATTGCTCCCACATGACTATACTCTATATAACATCCCCACATAGAAACTTAACAAGGTTCAGAGCAAGACTTTCCTTCCAGCTCAACAAGTATACAATATATATACAACTTCTGTCTATCATTCTTTGTTGGAATTTCATCTTTTTTTACAAATGACCTGCCATGTATTGCATTTTGTAGAATGCAGTTTGTAGAATTTTGTATGATTCTTAAGATACAGTGTTACTAGCAGGATGCTGGATCAAGTGCAGAAATACACTGTCATTTGTAAAACACATGTAAGGTTCACTTAGGTTAGAAGTAACTCTTTGAATCATGTCGCAGTGAAGCTGATGAATGTACACGCTGCCTCATATACTACTCTCCAATCAGATCAGCTTTGCTGTCCAGTGCACCATACTTTTACTGTACCATTTTGATATTTACTGTGCTTCAGACTATTGCCTCCAACACTCTGAGGGTCAACATATTTCAGTTTGAAGTAATCCAGAATCTTATTTACAAAATAGAGAAAAAGGGCTTTGTAAAACACAGTCAAGCCTGATAAAATATACTCACTGTTTTAAAAGCAATATACAAGAACAATAAATGAACACTGTTAATACTGCATTCCTTTAAATATATCAGTCATTTTCCAGCCTTAGAGATTCTGTTCTATAAATGAAAAGACATTCACCTCATCTCATAAACTGGTATTGTTCTAGCTATAGAATGCTGCCTTTAATCTGATCTTTTGTAAGAAGAGGGTGATGTACAAACCTGAGTTAACTGTACCATAAAATATGGGCAATAACTTGTATACCATCCACTGACAGGAGCCAATTTAATTTGTTACAACTGCTTCTCAACAAGGGTAAACAGTGCAATGATAGTTGGCAGACACTGACTGCTCTTGAGATCAGTATCACAATTTATTGATCCAAGAAGTTAATACTGCCAGAGAAAATCTTCAGTGGATATTAGAGCCAGAGAACAAATAAATCTTTATAATAACTAAAGAAAGGAAAAGCCACTCTGTGTATTTTATAGCTTTTTTTCTATGGGGCAGTAGAGAAGGGTTGAACTTATTTAAAGGACAGTAGTTTTATCTCTATTATAGGTTGTCATCTAGTACCATTCTTAGTATTTATCTAGAAAATAAATACTAAGAAATTACATACAAGTGGGCGTGTCTACATATGCCCCCCGCCTCCCACGGCACAGTTGTTACTGTGCCATCATTTAGTACTAAATGACAGCACAGTAACAGCTATCACTGAGCCTGGCGGAACATGATTATTTTTAACAGCAACATTGCTGTAGCAATGTGCTATAGCGTGGTAGCTTGTTGCTACAGCAACGTAGTCTTGGTGTTATGGTTTGTGCCTGCCGATGCTATGTCACTGTAGTGAAGAGCTATATCGCCATAGTGTATCACTACAGTGACATAGCATCACATGTAGATGCGCCCAGTGTTTGGCACCCTCAATAATGTGTGATATTTTGATACTACTTGATATAGTTAAAGCAGAGCAAATTAATTCATTAACTATAGTGGGCTGCATCATTGCAGAATACAGCACTTAAGTGCTATTATACTCTAATTCTATGAATGAAGAAAAAGATTAAGGATTTGTCGCATGCCAGTGGCACAGTCAGTACTGAAACTGTGGACCTCTTGAATCCTAACACCGTTTTGGTTCTATGAACTCAGTTTTATCAAAAATATATAACTTTACAACCAACTATGACTTAACAATTAAAAACAAAGCTCTAGAGAGAAACTTAATTGATTCTTACACTCACTATAAGTAAAATCATTCCATAAGAGTGAAAGCCAAAGAAATCACACACACACATACACAAATCTCTTGATATCTAAAGCTAAACCTTGATGTCATCCTATAACTGGATATTCAAAGTGCAGAAACAATATTAAACCATATTAAAGTACCTAGTCAGAAAATAGTCTGAGCAAAATTGATCATCAATTTTATGGACTCCATTCTGGAAAAGCTAATTATAAGTGGATCATTCAATACGGTAAAATATAGCAAATTCCCTGTTTCTTTATTTAGGAGGTATTCAGGATAAACTCTCAGGCTAGGTACAGATATTCAAAAAACCTGAAGAAGAATAGATCTAAGTTATGCAGTTTTCTGTACATGGCAT